ACCATAGAGCACATGTTTTTGCAGTGCCAGGCAGCAATATGGCTATGGAGGTGGTGGGAACGCATATGGAAAAAACTGGGCACCTCACAACCGTGGCCATGGGACTGGAGAGCACTCCTCTGTGAGGCATGGGCTCCAGAACAAGCTACCCCTTTCGAAGAAAACATGTTTAAAATAGGGTGAGGGTGATTATTCGGGCCATCTGGTGGAGACGATGCACGCTCGAAATGGAAGGAACACGCCGGGATGGAACAAAGTTCATCAATTCAATTGAAGAACAAATACAAAATGACATTTCCATTTGATAGGAAAGATTCAGAGAAAAGATCACATATCTACATTCTAAACAGGAAACTAGACAACACATAGAGAGGTTCTGCACAGACTGGCTGGGCGAGGGCTAAGGGGGTTGGATCGCCAAGGCAACATGGAAGGGTGGTGAGAAGGAGGGGGAAGACGTAGAGGAGGGCGAAAGGGACTACCACCTATGCTTCCAGGATTGGACAAACATCGCCCCCTCCACCCCACTTCGGCCCCTCTCAGACTTTGCTGAAGTTTTCCCATCCCCTCCCTTAACTTTGGTTGAGATGGAATGGTACCGGGGGTTGAGTGGCTAAAGTTTTGAATGCAGAGCGAGTGACGAGTAGACTACTCCACTGGACACTATATAGGCCTGCTCAGTCAATCCCCTGCATTGCAGGGCAATCAATGCTGGCAGGCCCCATGGTCACTGTTCTCACCGTCCTCAGACATTCTCATTTTTGTATGTCGGCTGCTGGACCCGTTTTCCAGCAGGTGATGCTCCCCACCAATAGATGGAGCCTCTCCCCAGGTGCTAGTGGTGCCTGCTCTTATCAGCACCACTAACACTAGTGGGGCCCTGTTCAGATTCAAAAAAAAAAAAAAAAAAAAAAAAAGTCTGCTAAAGGGAGTTGATACGAGCATCACCTTCTAGCAGGCCCGCGGCTGGCTGCTCCATTCCATTGGTGGGGAGCCACACCTGCTGGAAACTGGGCCCAGCGTCCCTTACATGCCTCAATACAGCACGGCCATTGCCCAGTTTCGGCTTAGACCAAAACGGCCTTTCCCCAGCCTCTTCAGCATAGCCGCTGTGTGCCTGATTTCCGAACCAATCCAGCAGGAAACTTTGGGGTTTAAGAGGGCTTACTCTAACATATGAAAGCAGTTCTGTGGATGTGGATGGGCCTGCGCTGACTGCAACTGCTGGAACTGAGGTAGTAATAACTGGTGGAACTGAGTTAGTGACAACTGATCTTGCTAACATAGGCTATCACTAACTCGGTTCCAGCAGTTATCACTAACTGATCTTGCTAACATAGGTTATAACTAACTCAGTTCCAGCCTGCAGTTATCACTAACTGATCTTGCTAACTGAACTTGCTAACGTAGGTTATCACTAACTCGGTTCCGGCAGTTATCACTAACTCAACTTGCTAACTGATCATACGGATAAGAGTCTGTGGGTTACCAATAACACTGTAAGCTAGCTACTGCTGCAGAGATCGGTTCAGAAGTCGAATGACTTCAAGGAAGTACCTGGAATCTAACAGACGGCTGAGAAAAGTAATAACTTAGGAGCAGTTTCTGCAGCACCACATTTCTCATGATCGATTTGATGCGGATGTCAGACTGCCATCCTTCGGGACATCCGTTAAAATCGGAACGATACAGAGAAGGGGAAGATTAGCATGGCCCCTGAACAAGGATGACACGCATCCATCGAGAAATGGTCCAATTTTTTTGAAGAACAATAGAAGAAAAAAAGGGATGTCAGACTGCCACAGATAGCTGGGTTTTGTACTACTTCTATACACTCGGCCACCAGGCGAGCACCTAACAGATGGCAATTGAACTGGTAAACACACAAGTTGAGTACCAGTTAGTCCCTGGAGTCGTAGAAAACTACCTGTTACTGAAAGTGCCGAGAGCAAAACTTTCCCCCCCCTGGGGTTGGGTAGGGGTCAACTAGGTTGGTAACTGGGTACGGACAAGGGGGGGGGCTGGGAGAAACGATAGAGAGGGGGTGGGGATGCAGCGGTGAGCGGATAATGTAGCTAAGGCGGGCCGTCAGGTCTAGGAGTTAGCAGTGGCTAACAGAACGATTTGTGAAATAATCTCTGTTGAATAATGGGTACCGAGATAATACAAGGAGGGGTCGTCGTACTTTAGAAGTACGCCGCTGTAATGGGGTGGGCATTGAGGGCCAGGGAACATATATAAGGACTACAGTGTGACCAGGTGACTGAGTGGGCACACTGGGTGGTGGCCCCCCCCTCGTGGGCACAGATAATGAGCGACCGGGTACAGCAATATGCTTCCCGGCCATTATGAGTGCCCTGGGGCAGGGATAGTGAAGAGCCCCCAGGTTGAGGTCCCCCCAGCCCCTCCTGCGGCGGCGGTTCGGGCTGTCGGTGTACCTGATTCCTTTTCTGTGCTTCTTCATTTGTACTTGAACTTGCTGTCTGCTTGCCATTAAAAAGTAACCCGACGGCTGCCCCCCAAAATAGAAAGGGCGTATCAATCAGAAAAAAAAAAGAAAGAAAGGGCAGAGAGCAATGACTAAATAAAAAAATAAGCACAGATAGGTTTTCACTTTCCACGTAAATGATATGCCTTGATTTTGTCCGTCAAAGTTCATGCCTGAGTGGGACATATCACAAAAAGTTAACACTGCGGTATTCCGGTTCCCGGACTATCTTAGCCATTTCAGGGAAAAGCTATCAGTTTTCTCCCTGCAGATCGGTGCTGCCCCCAGCCATGAGCGAAGGTTACGGCGACATTGATCGAGCCGTGGGGCACAGACAGACTGCTAAGCAGAAGCCGAGGGGCAGAGACAGACCACTAAAGCCACAGATGCAGCTCAGTGCGGCTACAAAGACTGCCGTGCAAACCGCAGGGCAGTGACAGCCCACTAAAGGCACAGGTGCAGCTCAGTGCGGCTACAAAGGGTCATCTGACGCATCTGGACCCAAGGGAAGACAGGCGGTACAGCAGGGAAGAACTTATCAAGTGTGCACCTCAAGTGCTTCTACACTACAAGAGAGCTTTTGGAGAGAAGGAACAACATAAACACTGTGGGTTCTGCAGAAGGCTGCTAAGGGGGTGGGACTGCAAGGCCCCTTGGCCTTGGCAGCGCGCAGCAGCGGTCCCACGCATGGAATTGACCTGGCCCTAAGTAACAGTCGGTCATAGTATAATAAAGCCCGGCCCTAAGTCTAGCCCCCTAAAGTCGTGCCCGTTAACAAGCCACAATTTTAGGAAACGTACGGGTCACTACAGGAGCGCCCAAATTCATCCGACTAGAAACGTTTCTGCTGTATTTTTCTCCACAGCCGATAGCCGGGCCAGGTACTGGTGGTTTGAAAGTGACTGCCGCGGCAATAAAGTAACGGCTGGCCCAAGTATTCAGAAGGCGATGGGAGCTGTTCCGAAGATTCCAGTACTGGAAACACACAGTCCTCGATGACGCAACCGCAACCTCCTCGATTGACAAAAGCATTGGAGGTGACTGCTGAGGGACACTTCTGTACTTTGGAGGATTGCTGGCTATGTGCGCTAAGATGAGCGCAACAGAAGCTGGCTGGCCTTGACGACAGAAGGCGAGAGCTGCCATGGTATAGCATCTCTACCAGCGGCAGCCATAACTGCGCTGGATGTGAGAGGAGCGTGCAGGTAATGGGAGGACGATGAAGAAACGACAGCTATGAGAAGCGGGACTCACCTGGCGGTGGCGAAAGAGCACACATACGGTAGTCGGACTCTGCAACATTGCTGGGCGAGAAGAAAAGAGGACTCAGAGCAGACGGATGAGAGTGAGAGATAGAGAGGAAGTAGGACAGCATGTAGAGTAAGTAGGGAATTAGTAGAAGCAGTCACAAAATAGAGGAGCTTCAAACTGTTGTTCTATTGATAACTGAAGGCGTCAAGTTGGGTTTTCTATATCACGCAACTTCAGTGCATGTGTGTTCTCAACTGGTGTGATTTCGGGTTTATAAATCTGCTTCCGACGTTTGCTCTTGTATGCTTGTTCTGCTTTTGTGTCTCTTGCTGCTGGAAAAACTGTCTCCTCATTACGTTCCTTGCAAAGCAGACAGAAAGGGACAAAACCTTACTACGTCGAACAAAGAGGGCATGTTTCTAATACAAACAGCGGCAGAGAGGGGGGTGCATCCAACCGCGATGGAAGCAATCAATAGCACCTTCTCAGGTTCTCTCAGCCATAATGGAGGGAACCATCCATCTAAGTAGAGGTTCTCTTTGCGTGGGACGCTGGACCCCGGTTTCAAGCAATATAATATAAATTCCAATTTAAGGCAGGGAGAAGGAGGGAAAGGGGGGAGGGGGGGGGGGGGGTAGGAGGGGCAATTAAAATTATCTGATTATGAACTTGACAAAATTTGAAGTAGACGAACATGGACCACACAAAGGAATCAGCTCATCCGACGTTCTTAACCCTAAAGCATCCAGCCAACAGCCTTGATGGCCATTGTTTTCCAGAAAAACACAAGGGTCAAAAGTTCTCAAAACCACCTAAGAAAAGAGAGGAGGGGGGAGGAGAGGGTCATCCTATTCTTCTCGTTGCAGTAGTCACTGGCCTCCTAAACCTCACAGCCAGATCAGAACACTTGCACATCTGCAAAGAAGTGTACAACACAGGCTGAAAACTGAGCTTATCAGGAAGGCTCATCAAGTAGAAGGGATCAGGAAAGACAACCAGAAAAAGATAAGAACACTTGCAAATCTGCAAAGAAGTCCAACACAGGCTGAAATCTGAGCTTATCGGGAGGGCCTATCAGGCGGGCTCATCAAGTAGAAGAGATCAGGAAAGATGACCAGAAGCAATTAAGGAGGAGGCACAAATAGAAGAAGTCAGGAGAGACGATGGTCGGACATTGTTGATGTTGAAATGACAATCTCAGAAAGATAGCCACCGAAATAAAGAACAACAACAACCACCCAAGGGGCCTAAAGAGTATGAACATAATCGTAGTGCTTCATTTCTACGGTACTGTGCGAAATTTATGACTGCCAAAAAAAAAAACAGCACTACTGCTCTGCACAGACAGTACTCCTTTCTAATGGCCTACAGTGCCAAGCATTTGCTGTCCAGGTACGAATATACAGACCGCATGACGAGGTCAGTCTGACAGCACTCTGCTCTCTCTGCTCTCTCTCTGCTCTCTCTCTCTCTCTCTCTCTCTCTCTCTCTCTCTCTCTCTCTCTAGCTGATGTGCACGCACTCTCACTGTGTGTTTGTTGTCATGTTGGCTATAAACAACTCCGCAGAACAAGCATGAGCATGCATGCACATGCATAGAGAGCGCAGGCCAAAGGCCAGCAATCTTGCCACATCACTCAATTATTCCAAACAAATGCAGGAATACACCGGACATCACGGAAAGCAAACAGGGCACTATTCCCATCATTTCATTCAAATTCATTGATATCATTCACTTTGACACTTTCTGCTTTCCAGATCTCTCCTCACCTTTGTTTCTCCGCACCTACCTACCTTTGCTATGTTCCAACGATGATCTTACGACGCCACACTTTTCTCCACATCTTTCTACCCTGGTGTACCCTCCACATCTTTCCACCCAGTCGTCCATATTTCCGCGCTATGTATGTCCTACACATATTTCCACTCTGTGTTCTGTGTTGAAAAAAATACGGCTGACCGTAGCAAATGCACAGGGGCACCGTCCCTGCAGTGTTGCTGAGTGAAGGATGTATGTACACATTCATTCATACAGCCTATGCCACAGGGCCAAGATCTGGACCCTAATCACATTGACACTATTTTCAGTGTGAATGCAAGCGTGTGTTCAATACATCCAGGATAATACTCACAGTAGGACTACTTCAAAAGGAATGCAACCATTAAGGCTGTCAAATATAGCTTTCTCTGAGGTCATGCCCATTGTAGTGCTATCTGAAAACCTTCATGGTTGAAAAGACCTCAGAGAAATAGGGCACATCAGGAACAGGAAGCAGTCGAAAGCTTAAAACACCCTTGCCTCCGCATCTTCCCACTATGCCCTACACATGTTTCCACTCCGTGCTCGTGTGACAGAAGACCATAACAAATGCACCAGGGGCACCATTCCCACAAACCTCCTGATTGAAAGACGTACACCGTCATATGGCCTATTCCGCAGGCCCAAGATATTGATCCTACTGAGATCAAGATTATTACCACTGCACGCAAGTGTGAGTGCGTTCACATACGACCTGCGGGTACGTCGGGACTGGTTTGAAAGGAATGCAACCATGAAGGTGGTGAGATAGATATATATTACTTCAACCTCACACTACCATGGGCATGTACTCAGAGCACATCAGAAACATGAACAGCGAAAAGCTTAAAAACCCTGTACGGGAACGCTCATCATGGTACTTGCAAAATAGTACAGCAAATCTGCGGGTGCTACTTACTCTGCTACTCTTCAAACAGAGTAATGAACGTGTGCACTGATGACAAACTGAAGCCTGCACAGGGAAAACTTCAGGGCATCTACTGCCCATTGCTTCAAACTTGCCCAGTGAGTCCTGATTTACCCTCATCCCATTGTACCACAAGCCAACAACAACAGAATACCTCTCTCTCTCTCTCTCTCTCTCTCTCTCTCTCTCTCTCTCTCTCTCTCTCTCTCTCACACACACACACACACACACACACACACACACACACACACACACTCACTTTTTCGCGTAGGTGATCTGCATGGGATTTGTGGGCGTAATTTTGAAATTCTGCAATCCAGATTTGGCAACAGCTGCCTGCATGTCTGTCTCGAACTCCACAAATGCAATCCCTGGTTTTGCTTCTACCATACGCACTTCCTTGAACCCAGGGAAATCCTTGAAAAGGTGAGTAATCATGATCCCACTTGCTTCGTGAGGAAGATTCTGTACAAACAGAATGCTGTTGGGAGGTGCTGGCGGCTCCTGCACTGGAGGTCGCGCTGTCTGCATGACGTACGGTGGAGGTGGAGCAACCACCATCTGGCGACCACAACATCAACCGCAACCAGAGATAACCTGTCAACGACATGTCTCCGAACAAAACCAACAATACCAGAGGCAATCCCCTGAACGTGTGTGGTCCTGGACCAATTGCACGCTAGCGTCGCTAGGTAAATTTGTCAACTGACTATAGCAGAACAAAACAAAAATCAGAGGCAGTTGTGAGTCCGTCGAATTGCACCCGAGCCACGACAAGTATAAAGGCTGAACCATCATGAATCTCGCCAAGAGGCAGATTCGTCGTCTGAGACAGTAAACATGTGCACAATCCATCAAATTCCATCCATGTTCAGGAACAGAAACTTGTTTTGCAAAAGAAACAGATTGTTTGATGAACTTTGATCCCATCGGAGAACTTCGAAGAGAGTTAGAGAGTCAAATTCACCAAACATCGCCATGCAGCAGAACAGGATTGGGTGGGTCAAAGAGCTATCGATCTTTCTCTGTCCGATGTTCTTAATCTTGTTCTTCCTTAGCTTTTTACTCCTAGTGGCTTTTCATGGGACAAAGCCACTATAGACAGACGTGAGTCGAAGAGAAGAAAAAAACAAGTCTCCTGGAAAACAGATCAGTGCCTTACTTAAGCTGCTAAAATTAAAAAAAACAATCCGTGTCTTTATCGGCATTGCATTGAGGCGGCACAAGGAAGATGGGAGAAAGTGCAGGAAATGGACTGCATGTGATGCCGGGACTGAATAAAAGGGCACATCGGTAAGAGGGACAAAACTCGAGGGTATTACAAGCTAGGATGCAACCTGAAAAACATAGGTAAGGGAGATTTAGAGGGTAGAAGATTAGCATGGCCCCTGCGAAAGGATGACACACATAAATCGAGAAATGGTAAAAAGAGAAAAAAGAGGGTATGTGGAAAAAAAGGTCGACAGGAGAATAGGGCGACAAAACGGATAAAGCAATCTTACCGGCGGTGTGGCAGGGTATGCAGGAAAAGTCTTTGGAGGAGGAGCACCAGCAGTTGCAGGAGCTGCAGCAGCAGCAGGTCTTTCCAGTGTGCCACGGCTGTCTTGCCGTCTCCTGGAAGACGACCTCTCTACACATAGCCAATGCCACAGTTTGAATTTCCACACATCAGCCACAGTAACCCCGATAAAACACACAGGAAAAATACCGATGGCAGTTATAATATCCTCGGAGTCATAGCCGTGCGTATGACCTAGGTGACCACGATTCTTAGCTCTCAGCACATTCAGAAGCCTCTCTGTCTCTCTGCCTCTCTCTCTCTCTCTCTCTCTCTCTCTCTCTCTCTCTCTCTCTCTCTCTCTCTCTCTCTCTCTCTCTGATGGAGTTGTCACAGGCACACCTTTTGTGCGCGTGTGTGTACATACAGAGGGGAGGGGAGAGGGAGAGAAGGGGGGCGGAGGGGTAGAGAGAGAGAGAGAGAGAGAGAGAGAGAGAGAGAGAGAGAGAGAGAGAGAGAGAGAGAGAGAGAGAGAGNAGAGAGAGAGAGAGAGAGAGAGAGAGAGAGAGAGAGAGAGAGAGAGAGAGAGAGAGAGAGAGAGAGAGAGAGAGAGAGAGAGAGAGAGAGAACTAGCTTTCCTAAAACCAAGAGATGAAGCCAGGTATTAAAGGTTCCTTGATAGCCATGCAGAGCTATCCCAGGCAGTTTCAACAGAGTCCTGGAAAATGGCAAGAGAGTGGAGGGCAAGGAAACATGAACTAGGATTAGCAGTCCGGATTGCTGAGGCCAACCTAGTAAACCAACCAACAAGTGACTTCTACAGTTCTACTACGCTGAACTGCGTGAATGGCATCACGGGAACCGCAACGACTGCAGATCAGAGCAAGAACAGATTACACATTCTGAGTCTATGTCCAAATCCTGTTTTGCAAAAATCATGGGGTGACCTCGGACTGAAGGCCCCTGGACCAATCGACCTTCTTTCGAGACAGCCTTGGGGGACATGGTACATTTTCCGGCCTTAGTGTGTGTATCTAGGCAGTGTGGGTTATGTTTGTATCGCTCTTCAATTTTTGCTTTTTCTTTTGTTTCCTAGATGTTTGGAGTCTTGGATGTTATTTTAATACCCCCCCCCCTTCCCCCCCCGCCCCTCACCTCTCTTTTTAAAAAAGTAGCTCAAAGTGATCATGGTTATGATGACTAACTCCGACCAGAAACGACCCAGCAGCGATTGATATGTCAGATGTCAGATTGATGGGTACCCCCCGACAAAAAAAGCAGCTGCAGCAGCACCTCGCCTGCAGGAAAAGACCTTAGCAGCCCTGTGATATACCAGTGCCATTCAATGGAAGAGGCTGGTCCTCGGCTCAGAAAAAAAGCCTCCCTGAACCCCTTCTCACCCTAAACCCCTCCGAAGTCCGCTCTTTTTTGTCATTAAACCCCTTCTCAAGAACCCTCTTTCTTAGCCATTCGCAAAATGTCAACCTTCAACAAGATCAACGACTGCTGGTTGAAGCTGATCCGCTGCCTCTTCGCGTTGGGCCCATTAACTAGAAACCTGATTTTCAAGTAGGACGTCGACAACGGCAACGAGCTTGCTATAGTGCTCGCCATAATTAACGAGGCACATCCTCCCGATCTCAACAAAGACCCCTGAATGGTCTTTTTGACTGCTCAGCGACAGACACCGAAAGAGAAGAGCGATTAAGAGAAGCACTAGCAATGTGAGCAGAGACGGAGGAGGCTGGATGTTCTTAATTTGTGGGAGTTCCATTCAGAGTGTTTTGTCTATTCCAAGTTTTGTATGGTCCGGGACATGCCGTCTTGGACTTCGTCTTGTCCGAACAGGCACCTGTACTTGTGCCTCTTCGGACCAGTGGGGTTACCGCTTTCCACATTGGGCTGTATTTTTGAAGCCCAGCAAAGATTTGTCCCCATTTGGGATGGATCGGGTTTTGTCCAGTAGTGACTGGTCCATCCCTTGTCGTTTCTGGGGCAGCCCTGCTGCATCAGCAGGGATGCCTGGATGTTCGGTAGGGAGCCAGGCTGACCGTTGTAGGCCTAGATGACTAGACCAGGATTTTGGCCAGCACCTAAGACCATCAATCGGGAGTTGGATTGGATGGTCCTGGGTGCAAACCTGAGGCACATCCTATAGGCCCAGCTGTATATAGCTGGGCCAGTACTCAGCTGGGGAACAGAGCTACCATCTTCACCCGAATACATATACGGTCATTATTTGGAGCGTCTTTGAGTCTAGATACAGCAATAATGACCGTACGTTGTACTCGGGTGAAGACGGTAGTTTCGCACTTTGGTGGCATGCTGCTGGAACGCCGGTACATAGCTGGAACAGCGGTATGTAGACAGGCTGCTGGACCATCCCATAGACCCAGAGGTATATAGCTGGGCCAGTGCTCAGTTGGGGGAACGGTGCTGGCTTCGGACTTTGGCAACAGGCTGTTGGAGAGCAGCAGTGTAGAGCATGAGTGCTAACTAATATAGCGCTAGAGGAACCAGCAAGTAAACTGGAGGGAGAGACAGGTCTACAGTGGCACAGGAGAGTAGCGGAGTACTTACCTGGCGCCATAGTTTGACATTACTATCAGGCACTAGCCAGCCTTCACTCTGCGACCTGCTGCAGTTGGATATCATCTGCACCAGTCAGCATTGGAGATATCGGGGAGAGAGAGAGAGAGGGAGACAGAGCTCATCACCAGTGTTACCATCCTGCTCATCGCCAGTGTGCATACTCTGTCGTCTCCCCTGAACAGGCCATCATCTCAACCGTTCTCCCCACTCGCTTGTCCTCCTCTCCTCTCACTCATTTTTCAGATATTAAAAAAAAGAAAACGCAGAAACGGATCCCATCCTTCACCATGCCTGCTTCACCTCTCACGCCACACTTCTGAACCAAAAAAACAATGTAAAAATGGGCCAAAAAGACGAAGAACAGGAACCCTTTTGTGCTGCTATCTGCCACTCTGATCATTTTCCCTCCTCACCCCCTCTTCTCTCTCCCAACCCCCTTCGTCCTCTCGTTCCCTCCTCCACTGCCTCTGTATACGGGAAAAACAACAGCACAGAACTCCTGTTTGGAAAGGAAAACAGCGCATTAAAAGAGGGAGGGGAAATAAAACTCCTACCTGGCCTTCCTCTCTCCCCTAGGCTCATGCTCCAGCCCGTGCAGCATTTGAGTATTTGCTACTACCACCAAGATCTGCACCGCAACCCGCTTCCCCCAGGCTCATGCTCCAGCCATGCAGCAGGGCCCACACCCTCCTACTTGTCGCAGTATCATAGATGCCACAACGATCGAGCATAGATCATGTGTAACTCTGCCCCCCTCCCCAAGCACAAACACCGCTGGAAGGGAGAGACGGGGTGTGTGTGTGTGGGAGAGAGAGAGAGAGAGAGAGAGAGAGAGAGAGAGAGAGAGAGAGAGAGCACCTAGTCACACTCATTTCTCCGCAGCCATACTCTGCTGAGAAACGAAAATATGACCGCTATGCGGACCCGCCTATTTACTGTTTTTACGAAGTGGGTGCCCAAACCGACTGGCCCCACGTAACTCATAATTACTTGCTCATCTGATTGCAGTACAATGTGAACTCACATCTGTTTAATAGTGTGTACAAACAGTGGGTACCCGAACTGACCCGCCCCATGCAATTCACAGGTACTTACGTGATCTCAGCGTGATCCCTATCAACAGTTCATGGGTGTACCGTTTGGCACAATGTGATTCAGCTCAGCCTACTTAAGCTTTTTTGCTGAGTGTGAGACAGTGGTGTTCAAATTCTACCAAGGCCAGGCTCGCCCTCGCTTTTGCCTTAGTGATTTCTGGACCGCGACCAGCATTTCCATTCTCGTTTTCCGGAACACTGTGGAACAAAACTGAAAAACGAACGACGGAATCCCACCGTGGTAAGCCAAAACATTGCGTCACACCCAACAGGAGGAACTCGCAAAGAGCGCCACAGATGTATATCCCCCGCTTCCGCCCCCTCAACTGACAACACTGAAAAAGAAAGAAAAGCACTTTGGGATGATCTCCGTAAGTGCAGAAATGCCCCACTCATAATCCGAAAAAAAAAGAGGAAAATCAATTCCAAGTTGCTTGAGCTGCCCATGGTGATGCAGGAAGGGGCCTGCCTGCCTGCGTGCCCCAGGTAACCTACATATTACCCAAAAAGTTACTTTCTTTTTCCACCTACTGATAGGACCAGTTCATTGCATGTAAAGTTAGTTACCTGGGGCCTACCAGCCCCTTTTTTCGACGACTCTGGGTCACAGAACAAAATGTCAACATGCTCCAAACTTCTCTTCCTTCACTGGTTCATTGGAGTTTCAGGCCTCAAATGTTGCGGCCAGCGGATGAAATCAGGGCCAGGGTGAGGGAAACGGGCGGTGTTGAGTACATACACGCATGTACACTGAAACTGTAGCGTACAAGGCATTCTACCAATACCATATTCAAATAGAAAATGACCAGACTTGAATATAAACCCCCCACGTTCCAATTGAATACAACAGCGGGGCATTCTTTTTCAAATGAGTGCTATATAAAAAGAAGCGAGCAAAAAACAAAACTTTGTAACATTACGTTACATCAATTGGACAAATACATAAAAAAACAAAACTATGTCACATTACGTTACATCAATTGGACAAATACATATATAAGACCCTGAAGGAGCAATATGACAAGCACGAAGTGGCAGACGCAAGCTTTCAACGTCTTAGCTATGTGCGATACGCAGATGACTTTGTAATAGGCATTACCGGCCCTCTTCCTGACGCAACTGAGATACGTGATCGTATATCGACAGTTCTAAGTACGCTCGTACTAGAGCTAAACAAAGAAATTAAGATATCACATAAATGTTCAGTCAAACTATTCTGACTGAATTAGACATTCAATTGAATGAGGTATGCAAAGCTTCTCAAAACAAAATACAGACTTTGATTCAAATGCGTAAAACAGAATTATCGTACTTTTGTAGTGATCTCATAATTGAACAAGTCCGAGTCTATTCTGTTCGATATGAGAAAGATTTGGATTCTCAGTGTGAATGGACCTTATTGTTTGGCCAAACAGATTGGTAACTTGGTACATGATATTTGTATTAATTTGAGAATTCCATTCATTTAACCATTAAAACTACGTTACCGGATTTAACCATTAAAACTACGTTAACGGATTGGACGTCCGGACCCCCCCTGACCGTCCGGTACTGTCCGATTGGACAACCGGTTGGTCATCCGCCCGGGGCCCTCTGTCCAATCGGTGGGGAAAATAGGGGGGGCACTTCCATGGGGATCGGGCGCCATGAGGGTGGGAAGCGGTCCAGGGCGAAGTGGGGGGGGCGAATGGAAAATTTATCCAAGGCGGGTACGGCCCCGAAAACCGAAAACGAAAACGAAAACGGCCCAATCTGGGCTGTCAGATCTTTGAGATCGACGACCCGGATCGGGCCGAATTCAAAATCAAATGCCGAGGCACTGCGGCCCTCTCTCACGCGCGACTTGGCCCTGCCCCGTCGGCTGAGTTCGGCGTTGCAGTTGCCGAACTCCAATGCCCAGAGGTTGCAACCCACTTGCCATCGCCCGCCCGCGCCAGGTGAGTTTCCTTTACTTCGTCCTCCACCTCCTCCTCCTCCTCCTCTTCCACCTTTTGGTTCTCCTCTTGTCCTCCTCCAAATCCTCCTGTCTTCCTCCTCCTCCTTTGTTCCTCCTCCTCTTCCTTTTCTTCCTCCTCCGCGTCCTTGTCATTGTCCTCCTCCTCCTGCTCCTCCTCCTCCACTGGATCCTCCCCCTCCTCTCGTCCTCGTAGTCCCAGTCCTTTCTCTCCTCCTCTTCCTCCTCTTCCCCTTCCTTGTCCTCCTCTTCTTCCTCCTCCTCCTCCTCGTCCTCCATCTCCTACGCTTCTTCTTCCTCCTCTTCTTCCTCCTCTTCTTCCTCCTCCTCCTCCTCCTCCTCTTGTTCCTCTTCCCCATCTTCCTTCTCCTCCTCCTCCTCCTCTTCTTCCTCCTCCTCTTCTTCCTCTTCCCCATCTTCCTTCTCCTCCTCCTCCTCCTCCTCTTCTTCCTCCTCCTCCTCGTCGTCCCGGTCCTTTCTCTCCTCCTCCTCGTCCTCGTCCTCCATTTCCTCTGCTTCTTCTTTCTCCTCCTCTTCTTCCTCCTCCTCCTCCTCCTCCTCCTCCTCCCCCCCTCTTCTTCTTCTACCTCGTTGTCCTCCTCCTCCTCCTCCTCTTCTTCTTCCTCTTCCCCATCCTCCTCCTCCTCGTCCTCCTCTTCTTCCTCGTCTTCCTCCTCCGCCTCCTTCACCTCCTCTTCTTCTTCTACCTCGTTGTCCTCCACGTCGTCATCGTCCTCCTTCTCCTCCTCCTCCTCCTCCTCCTCCTCCTCCTTGTCCATCGCCATGGCACCCTCTTCGTCATCGTCGTCATTCCCTCCTCTTCTTCCTCATCGTTGTCGTCATTGTCGTCCTTGACCATCGCCGTGGCCTCCTCGTCCTCCTCCTCCTCCCACTCCTCCTAATTTCCCCTCCCCTCCCCCGCTTTTCATTATCCATTTCCTCTTATGCCACGTCCTCCCTCGCTGCTGCAGCCACATCGCCATCCCCCCGTTCTCGCCATGTTTGTCGACATCATAATGTCCCCTGCCCTCTCTGCTTTGTTTTTTTCCCGCAATCAATCAATCAGTCGGGATCCCGTCGAATCGATTGATTCGATAGGATCTTGAGATCTTGAGATAGGATCGAATCAATCGATTCAATGGAATCCCGACTGATTGATTGATTGATTGATTGATTGATTGTTCAGGATCCTGTCGAATCAATCGATTTGACGGGATCCCGCCTGATTGATTGAGTGATTGATTGATTGATTGGTCAGAGATCCTATCAAATCAATCGATTCGACTGGATCCCGACTGATTGATTGATTGTATTGTATTGATTGATTGACAATGATTGATTGATTGAATTGGAAAAAAAAGAGAAAAGCGTTGAGGGGGGTCGAGGTCACCGCGCGGTGATGACGGAAGTTCGGCCCGCTCCACATCATCGTCCTCTTCCTCCTCTTCCTCCCCAGCGTCCGGCTCCCCTCTTCCCCCTCCTTGTACTCATCCAAGCCGCTATCCCCGATCTCGTTCTTCTGGGCGCTGTGCCCGTCTTCCTTCTCCTACTCCTCCTTTTCTTCTTCTTTATTTACATCCTTGTCCTCCACGTTGCCCTCATCGTCTTCACCCATCGCCCATCGCTGCTGTCCTCCAGTCATCCTCCCCCCGCCTTATCCTCCTCCTCCTCCTCTTCATCTTCGTCATTCCTTTCATGTTATGCCACGTCCTCCGCCGCCGCTGCACTCGTGTTGCCATCCCCACGTTCTCGCCATGGTTGTCAATGTCATAATGTCCCCTCTCCTCTGCTTTTCTTTTTCCCGCACTCAATCAATCAATCAATACAATCAATCAATCAATCAATCAATCAATACAATCAATCGATACAATCAATCAATCAATCAATCAATCAATGGGGATCCCGTCCAATCGATTAATTCGATAGAATTAATCGATTCGACAGGATCCCCATTGATTGCTTGATTGATTGAGTTGAACGAAAGAAAAAACGCGTTGGGGGTTGGTTGGGGTTTGGGAGGAGGGAGGGGGGGGAGGGGGGGCGGGGGGGGGGGGGGGGGTCCGAGGTCATCGCGCGGTGATGGTGCAGGGATGGTCCACACGCTGCGTCAGACGAAGCAGTTGCTGACTGCAGCAGCGGGTCCTCCATTTGAACCCCCCAAGCAATCCACTCCCCCCGCACCCCACCATTACACGTCGCACACTGTTTCTGAATTTTGTTTTTTGTTTTTGCTCAAAACAGCCTGAATTTTTTTGGGGGGGGATCCCCTAGTGGTGTGCGCACCCCCTCCGTTTTTTGTTTTTTTTTTCGGTTTTTTTTTTGGCAAAAAAGCCGTTGTCCGGGATCCCGGACAACTCCCCCCTGACCGTCTTCCGGAGACGTCCGGGGGAGACGTCTCCTGTGGCATACTGTGCAGCCACACGGGCCTTGCAGGGCCCGTCCCGGACCTCCAGCCTGTTTCCCTACAGGGAAACTTCCAGGCTCTTGCCTGGAAGCTTCCTTCTGGCAGGGCCTACATGCCCCAGCCTGTTTCCCTACAGGGAAACTTCCAGGCTCTTGCCTGGAA